AAAAAAAAAAAAAAAAAACATTCAAATATTAGTTCACACAAACAGCCCAAAGTCATAATCTTCAAAGTAAAGACTCAAAATCTAAAAATAATCGGTCTCATCCAATTGAATTTGGCTATCATCATCAATACTATTAAAGATAATTAGTCCAGTTTTACCAAATTCTTGCATCTTTTCATCATCATGAATGTCAATGGGATCCTCGTTTCCACCTGTTACATACAAGTAATATTTAAAAACTAACATTTTTTTTTTAAAAAAAAGAGGGCATACTTACTTGAGCTTTCACCGACTCTTTTCTCCTTTATAATTGGAGCATGATTTTGATCTTCATTATCAACATCAATTTTGACTCACTTATTAGAATCCAGAACGCTATCAAAGATTCCCGATGGCATACTAACAATAGGATCTCCTTCAAACAACTCATCATCAACAAGCCAAGTAGTATTATTTGGAGGGCGGGATCTTCTAACTCTGTTATCCACTCATCATAAGAATCAATTTCATCAACTATAATGGGATCCATCTTGTCTCTCCTTCTAATACTTCTCTCCCTTAATCTAAAGTTTTACTTCACAAAGACAAAACTTTCAATCTTGAATGTTCAAGTCTATTCCTCTTCTTCGTATGTATCTAAGAAAATGGAAAAGAAAAATATTTAGTAAACGTAGTACATAAGAAAAGGTATAAAAATCATTTAAGAAGTTTATTAAAAAAAAATATTACCGACTCAAATGTGCTCCAATTTCTTTCACATCCCAAAGCGCTACAAGTAAGATTAAGAACTCGTATAGCAAATCTCATAAGCTTGGGTGTTTTGCTTCCAAGCCGTTCCCACCATTTTGCTAAAGTACTGATAAAAGAAATTCAATAACTATTTAAATTCGTAAAAATGCATGGAAAAAATAAACTATAATTATGAACATTATACCTGGATAACGCAACATTCTAGACTTCTTAGCCATTGGACTTCCAAATTCTCCTTGTGCATTTTCATAAAAATCCAATTGAGTATCGGCTTGAAGACGATCATCGGGCGATAACTTTCGGTCCATGCACGCATGCAATCCATCTTTAACTTCTAAAGTATTGCAAAGGGAATCTTCATAACGCAATTGCAGGTTTAAATAATATCCGACCACATGTAGGGGATGGTGAAGTTGTGGAGTCCATCTATCATCAAATTTTCTCCAAATTGGCATATATTTTATTGAATCCCCCCCCACCCACAATTAAACTTAATGGTCTCCTTTGCACTTCTCATGAGCTCATAAGTATATCCCATGACCAGCCTCTCTTCAGAATCAACCTCCCTTAAGACGCTAACAAGGGGCACAATGCTTTTAACACAAAATGCTACATGCGGCAAAAAATCGGGATCAATGACGACAATTCTTTTGATAAGTTTTCCTTCAACTTTTTTAGCTTGAGGAGAATTAACCCATTCTTTAGAACCAAACATAATTTCAAGAGGCCTATTTTGTTTGTACATGCTTTGAAGGGTTAAGAAAGCAGTGGCAAAGCGAGTTACCGCAAGACGAACAAGCTCTTTCCCGTTTGTATGTTTCCCTATCAAAGAAAGGATAATACCATGGCCATAAATAAACTTCACAACTCTTATAGCCTTTTCAATCGTGTCTGATATACTAAATTTTGCAATTGATTCCAACATGAGATCAATGCAATGTGCCACATAAGGTGCCCACCATAAAGATTTTCGTGTCGTCATCAACTTTTTCCCAGCCTTTACATAGTTACTAGCATTATCAGCGATAACTTGGATAACATTATCCTCTCTTATCTCATTCACAATGTCATCAAGATAGTTGAAAATCAATTCACCATTTTTGATAGAGTCAGAAACATCAACGGATTTCAGAAAAAAAGTGTCGGCGGGGCTATTCACTAGAAAATTTAGTAAAGCTCTGTTTTTCCCATCCGTCCATCCATCGGACATTATAGTACATCCATATGTTTTCCAAATTTTTTTGTGCTCCTCATAAATAAGATTAGTGTCACTCACCTCTGATTTAAGCAATTGCGTTCTTAGTTCATGCATGGAAGGAGGTTTGTACCCTTTGCCATATTCCCCAATTCCCTCAATCATAGGTAACCAATGAGGATCCTTGACGACATTGAAGAAAAGTCCCGCAGAGTACACAAAATGAGCAACTCGACGATCAATATCTTTTTTTAATTCTTTTATGTATGCTGAATATATAGTTGTTTGTCTCGGTTCAGAATGGACAAATTTGTCCAATGTGCCGGTGCCTTTAGAATGGCTATTACTTCCACCTTGTGAAAACCCGTCCGTATCAGAAATAGATTGAGACAATCTACTACCTGCTGGGCCTTCACCAATCTCACGTAGCAATTCATTCCTCTTGCATTTAAGAGTCTGAAAAAGTTTGAAGACTGTCTCTAATTTTCTTGCTCACCTCAACTGGAACCTTATCACAAGGTGCAACACCTTTCCTGGTTTGTGCTAAATGTTCTTTTAGACGAGTAATGCCCCCATTTGATCTGTGATGGCAAAATTTGCATTAAATGCTTCTCTCTCTGTCTACTTTAATAACATATTTCCAGCCGATATCACTATTTGTCGTCATTTAAGTTGAAAATTAAAAAAAAAAATTATTAACACAAAATCATGCTTGTTCACAAATCACAACAGAGGCTGCATATTATTTGAACATACAATAAAAACTACACACAAAATCATGATTGTGATCTAATTTAATATTCTTCATTTACTACTCTTTCACCCATCTATTTCAAAAGAAAAATTGACCCCTTAGACAGACTTTTGATTCCAACGGAACACAGAACAATATCTGGCTTGAAAGATTAAATATTAACATAACATCATTATCATTTGAATACCAACAGGATTAAATTGTAATTGAAATTCGCATTAAATTTTCAATTCTACATGTACATTACAACATTTACCTTATATACCATTAGGTAACACTGAAATTCAATTCAGTTTTAAGGTGAAGTTATACCATACAATGATATAGGTTATTATACCAACTACATAAAACTATCTAATGGAAAAATAATAGAAAATTTGAGAGATGAGCTTAAGCCCAAACTGTAGTGATACAGTATAACCACTTATTTAACAATAAATACAGCTTAATCCACCACTTTAACAAAACTTATTTAACAACCATTTATGAGATTCTAAAGAAACCAAACTTGAATGAAATATGAATCGCCACTTTAACGTAGCTTATTTAACAACAGTTATGATATTCTAAAGAAACTAAACTTGAATCGAATATGAATCATATAAATGTAGTCTTCAAAACAACAAGCTCAAGCAATCATTTAACTCACTCTATTAATCAAATAAATAATCATTCCAATTAAACCTAAATTTAAATTATCAAATCATCAATTTCAATTTCATTATCTCCAATGAAAAACAAAATGTTCCCTATGGACTATGGAGTCAACCGAGGAGCAGGGGATGTCGGGTAGAGAGACCCGAGGAGCAGGCACTTTGGGGGTGCCGAGAGTCGCGCGAGAGTTGAGAGACGAGAGAGAATCAACTTGTGAGGAGGCTGAGGTGGAGACGTGGAGGCGGCGAAGTTTCTACTCTCGCTGGATTGTGGTGGATCGTGGAGGCTGCAGTGGAACTGTGGAGGATGCAGTGGAGAGGATGAGAAGAAGACGATGAAGAGACGATTGAGAAGTGAACGTGGGTTTTTTTGTGTCACGACTTGGCAGGCCCTTTTTTTCTGCTTATAAAAGTTCAAGGCCCAAATAGCATCCGCAATATGAGTAATAGCGTAAATAGCATACAATTTCGCGAAAAAAGCGCGACACGTCATCAAAAGCATACGCTATTCCGGAGCTGCACAAAATTTTGAGCGCTACAGCGCGTTTTCTGTGAAATATGCGCTATAGCGCGCGAAAATCCGCTATTTAAAACACTGATATATACATACATGTTATTGTATTAATTGTAGTGGTGGCCTTAATAATATTTATAAGTTCGAATTTTGTAAATATTTAAAAGTTCAAATGATTTTGCCTTAACAATTAATAATTGCAATCTTTGTTAATTTGATATGCAAAATTGTATTGTTTTTGTTCTTAAGAAAATATTCTTACTATTACAATTTTGCAAATTTGTGTATAATATAGATTAATATAATAGTAGACTGTAACATATAGTAAATTCCACATGTAATATATTCTTATTTCTATCGAAGTACAAATATCCAACTAACAATCTGCAATAATTCAATTATGAAGGTGTTACGTAGTATTACCAAAAAAAAATAAAATATATTTACTATTTTAATATGGAATATTTATTTATTTTGTAAGTTGTGCATACTTCGTGAGATAATCTGTCAAAAAAAAAATAATGTTAAATAATTGTTGAGGTAAAATTTAAAAACAGGCATAATCTTTTTCTTTTTTTTTTTCTATTAAAAAATTCCCAATTAAGAATGTTCTTATATTGTGGCCAAATTCTCCAAACAGCCACTGGGTACTTGACAAATCAGCAGCACCCACTGAAATTACTCAGCCCACCGCCTTGCTGTCCTAACAGGCGACATATAAAAGGAAGATGCTACCGTTCCGTTCTGGAATCATTCTGTCAGATTAATAACCGTTAGATCAACTATTTATGACGGTTACATGATAATTTAACGATTACAAA